CTTGACCTTTGAAAAACAAATCACCATTGCCTCTTTCGCCTGACCTCATACACCTCAGAACTGTACTAATTTGTATGTCTCTAGGAACTTTAGCATACCACATTGGCCCTGTCCATCTAAAGTGCCTCCCTGCTACTAATTCTCCGTCTTTATCTTTCTCCTGAGGTAGAAATGATATATGACAACATGAAATATTATATTTGGTAGCAGCGAATGCTTCTTTTATCCTATCCTTTTCTTAAAATTCCTTCTTGTTTTCTTTCTTTTTGTTTCTTTTCTTAAGGAAAATACTTCTTGCCACTTTTCTTGGGTAATTCTTTCTTGTTTTCATTGTTCTTCTCTCTCCAAGTCTTACAATGGTTCGCCCAAGGTTATACAGGGTCGGAAAAGGTATACGAAGATTATATGGAGCGAACTTGAGGTTACTATAAAGATCTGTAAAAGGGCTATGCAAAGGGATCAACAAAGGTATCACAAAAGTCACACGAAGGTCTAAAGGTATGCTGCACTCAAGGACACTACCAGATCTCATGAAAAAAGATCTGCAAGGTTAAACAAAGCTACACGAAGGCATTATGAAGATTAAATAAAGGTTTAATTGATAAAAGACTTATTGAAGATCTCTGAAAGAATTTTCAAAGGCTAAACGAAGGTATCATGAAGGTCTACACAAGGGTTACACAAAGGTCTAAGTTCTGAAAACACCACCACACCCATATTGCTTTGGAAATAAATAAACCATCTCACTTTAAGGTTGAACTTATGAAGATCATTGAATGTACTACTAGGAGGAAATAGCACTGACAACTGGCACTCTAATGGTTCTATGTCATGGACATATTTTACTGTTAAGTATGGATTTTTGAGAAGTTTCTTAACTTTCCATTCATACTAGGGAAGAAGAAGGAAAATAGTAATAACTGGATTGTTAACAAAAAAAAACTGTTCTTCTCAAAGAACTCTGCCTAAAGGTCATCCAAAAACCCTTTCACTAAAGGTTATGCAGGAGTTGTGCCATAGGAAAAATCTTGACCACCTTGATATCACTATGTAACCAGGTCAAACATCTATACAAGGAAGGCTGCCTTGACATATTAAAGGTGATCAGAACAAACATCAATATTTGCTCCTATACCAAAGATTTCTTTGTAAATCATAATACTCTAAAGTACTATGAAAGCCAAATTGTATGGAATGAGAATTAAAGATTATGCCGATGTAAACAACATGGTTTATATATGAGAAATCTGATCTGCAGGATAATGTATTATAATTGGACAATCTGTAATGACTAAATGACATCATCTGCAAATGATTTGATTGGACCAGGAGGAAACCACTAATGACACTCTCACCATTGACTAGAACTGAGTCAATGATTTTCCCCACAGATTTAGGATGGAACAATGATGTATCACGTAACACGACTGTCCAATGCACCGATAAACGGCTCATTGCATCATACAATAGCGAAATGTAATACAACGTACTACGACCTACACTACACAAAGGCATAGCATCACACGGGATTGGAACAAAGGTTGGGTCAATGGACACGAATCTAAACCCCATAGTATAAGTCTGGACAGCATTTCGATATAGGGTTCGATTATAAGGCTGGGTGCAGCATCGACCTTTGGATGGATAAACATTATCTGGCATTTCAATCCGCGGAACGTGACACGACTGTACTATACGCCGTACTAGGACAAACGATACACACACCAGGAAACGTAGCACGAAGCAAGGACACCACCGTACCGCCGGAACACCGTAGCACAAGGACGTTACGACACCATGAAGATGCCGCAAGAAGCTTCGAATGCTACCAAGACAAGAGGTCACCGCAGCACCGTGGAACGTAAAGACAAGTGCCGGAACGCCGCCGCACTACCGGGACGACGTCGTAACACGAAGTTACCGCTATATGCGCCAGATGTTGCCGCAATATGGGATTGCCACAATATCGACGGGACGCTGCCGCAAAAAGAAGTTGCTACTTGAAGTGCCGGATGCCGCCACGATATAGGATCGCTACCGCATCGACGGGACGTCGCCACAGCATGAAGTTGTCGCTACATGCGCCCAGTGCCGCCGTAACATGAGGTCACCGCCGCACTGATGGGATGCCACTTTATGCGCCGGATGCTGCCGCAACGTAATGCCGCAGCATCGACGGGACGACGCCGCAATGAGATATTGCCACTAGAACACCTGAAGACTTGAATACCGCCACATAAAACCGCGCCTCACTGACAGACAAGACGCTGCCGCACAACACTGATGCTACACAAGACGCCGCAAGAATGCTACAAGACAGAACGCCACTACACGAAATGCCGCACCGCTACAGAATGCCGTAAAACACGATGTAATGACGCTGCAACACGGGACGCCACCGTACAACATGCTAGATGAAACGCCACGACGTGATACACCACTGTATAACGTGCCGCGAGACAAGACAAGACGCTACACTGCCGCATACGACGCCACAGTACGATACGACGCCGTGACAACGCATGAAACGCCACAGTAATCGCCGCCGCCACCAACCACAGTGCGCCGCAGCAATTCCGCTGCCAGAAATTCTATAACGATCGATGCCGCACTCTGCCGCATGGATACGTCACAAAATGATCGTCACGCCGCCATGTTACACGAAGCACGAAACGATGATAATCCCGAAACGCGAAGCAAAACGCCGCCAAAAGACCAAGGAAGCGCCGCAAAACGTAACACGGACGACGCCACAGGAAGATAGAAGTCGCCAAGGACAACACTACTTGCTCCAGAATACGACGCCACACCAGCCGCAACCGCCGTACTAGCCCCATCTCCGCTTAAAAATGTCAAAAATGACCAAAAAATTTTTTTGAGATCATTAAGGACAATGACTTTTTAAGGAGGGGAGAATGTAATAGTATTAATGGCAAAGTGAGTGACACTAAGTGGGTCACACAAGTGGAACAAACAAGCCAATGGAAGGAGCAAAGTGACTGGAATACTGTGCCTCTCTTCATCTCTCTCTAGGATATCTAGAACTTAAAATATTAAGGGAATTATATTTCTATAAGATATCCGGATAAATGTCAAATATGGGAGTAGCGGCTATGCCTACCTACTCGAAAAGTGGTTTGATGAAATTTTTTGATTTTTTGAATATAAGAAAAATGAAAATATATACAATGATAGAATAACTAGAAGCTAGATCAAAT